CTCAAACAATTTACCCTTCTTTCTTGATTTCACGTGGGCCAGAACCTCGTACGCAACATAACAGTTATCCACCATTAATCTTCTAGGTATGAAAGCATTTTGGAACTCACCAATCACATTTAGCAACACATATTTGAGCCTATTTACCAGGCACTTTGAGATGATTTTATACAGGGAATTGCATAGACTTATTGGTCGAAATTTATCCGCTTTTGAAGATTTCTTAACCTTCGAAATTGAAGTGATGAAGGTTTTGTTAGTTTTTACAAGCATGTTCCCTGTTATGAAGAAGTGTTGGGCTTCTTTGACCATGTCATCTTTGATACTAGCCTAATTTTCCTGGAAAAACATAGGGGGTGTACCGTCCGGGCCTGGTGACTTTAGAGGATTTTGAGAAAACACATAGGCTTTAATTTCGGCTTCCGAAAAGGACATTTAAAGCAAAGCAATCTGGGGCGAACATAAAGGGGAAATATCTTGGGGCCAGTTTTCTAGTAGATCATCACGGTTTCTAATCTGTTCTTCTGAGAGGTTTGACCCATTATATAAGGAAATGAAATGGGCTTGAAACTCGAATTTTATATCCTCAACCTTTGTGACCCAAACATTTTGGTCCGCTTGTAAAGCTCTTACTCCCAGCCTGGATGCTTGTTGCTTTACACTTTTGAAGAATAAAGACGTAGTTTGGTCTCCATATTCATCCCATTTTGATTCGGCCCTTTGTCTCCAGTATCACCATTCGAGGTTAATCTCATTTTATAATTGTTTCCTACTTGTGATTTCTTTTGAAGAATTGATAAGCTCATGGTACTTTTATATTTTAGTGGACTTCAAACTTCTCCTAGATTTTTTGCCAATAAGTCTTGTAAACACGATTTATAAGACAATTTCAAATATTATAGCGAATCATTTATGTTTAATTTCAAAAGAAATAGTGAACCCACTTCAAAATGCTTTTCCCCAAATCATTCAATTCATGATAATATTTTGATTGTACAAGAAGTTCTTTAACACTTTTCACAAATCTAACAATAAGTCTGGATGGTGTGCCCTTAAAGTAGATATATTTGGAAAAGACTTATTTAGAGTAGAATGAGATTTTTTATGAAAATGTTGAAAAGCTTTTAGTTTTCCTCAAAAATGGAATAATTAGATTATTGAGTTAATAACCAAAGTCTCATACTCTCTAAAATTAATGGAACTTCCACTGAATGGCTTAAACCATCAAGATATGGACTACGACAAGAAGATTCTCTATCTTCATACATCTTTATTCTTTGCATGGATGTTTTAATAAGGAAATTAAACTTTCTATTGAAAGTCTTAAAAACATAGCCGAAATAGGCTTAAAACTTGCCCGCAATCCTTTAATTAATATCTCTTGTAAATTCATGAACATTTCTTGTAATAAGCTTTATTTTATTTGGAAATGATAGCCTAGTTTTTTGTAAATCCATAGCTAGCTCTTGAATAGATTAAAAACCTAGCTTATTCGAGGATCTTTGCAAAATTTCAAGTCAATTGATTAATTTTCTCAAATTGTCAACAATTATTTTCTCAAAGAAAATTCCAAATTCAAGGTGAACTAAGTTAGCTAGCCATTATAACATGACTTGAGTCGTAATAGTAAGTGATAATTAATTCCTATTTTTCTAAAGAAAGAGGACAACAAGTTAATTCTCCAAAAGACTAAAGAAAGAATTCAAATAGGGAATCTGGTTTTGTATCAAAAGCTGGACGACATACCCTAATCCAAAGCAATATAGAGGCTTTTACTATATCCTTGTACTTGTTCTCATCCTCTCTTTTGCCAATTGACATTGCAGCAAAGTTAGCTAGAATCCCTAAACCAAAATATGTGTAGCAGAAGCTACTGCTATTTATAAAGGAGTCCAACTAGCTCTTTGATGTGGCATTCATAACATTAGAATTGAAGGTGATTACCTATTAGTCATCAATTCAATAAAAGGCATTTGGGGAGTATGTTATTAGCAAATCGAGCATATTATCAAAGATACTTGTTCTCTCCTGTCTCAGTTTTGTAATTAGAGTATCTAGTACGTCTATTATTGATAGACAAATCACACAGCAGATTGGACAGCTAATGTGAGCCATTTAGTATCTAGTAGTATGAATATTGATGTTTGTAATAGCTCTAGTATGTTTTCTATTCTTTCTTCTAATGCTCTAGTATGCATGATTGTCGCAAAAATCAAAATTTGCTACTGTTTTTAAGCAATTGTAAAGCTTACGATGGTTTTTTTACATGACCTATTTGAGTTATTAGTTGTGAGGATAATCAGAACTTGTTCTCTTCACCTAAAACAAGTAGATCTTGTCTGATTTTATCACGGTCTAATCTAAATTTTTATTATCTGATATGCATTTATTTGATTTAATAATTTGACTAAATTTTAACCGCATTTTAATACTAATCTACAAAGAAAAACATTAACAATGTGAATTTTGTTAGATTTGTCTCATTATAAACTTTTCAAATATGTAATTTTTATAATTTTTTAGGAAACTTTTCTAATGTCTTTTATGACATTTTCTGCACCAAACTTAGGGGGCATTTTGTTAGGGGGTTTCAAGAAAGGGAATGAGAATGATTCCGTTTGTTGTCGTTTGTTTATCAATTTCTATCACTCCTTTTACCCCTTTTTATTTTTGAATTAACCCAAAAACCCTCTACTCTCATTCCCCACCCACCCCACACACTTTCCCACTCCTATCCCCCCTCATTACCCATCACTCATCAGTCTCTCTCTTCTCTTAACCCTAAAAACTCCCATAGTCGTCACTTGAACCTCCGGCCACCACAACAGCGACTGGAGAACTTGCACTGGCAACGACCTCCGACGGACAAGACATGTCGGCCAACGACTTCATGTTCTTGTTTTTTTCTTCAAGTTTATAGCTTAATCAACTCTTTTTTTGTTCTTTTTCATGAATTGTTGAAGAAACTACAATTATTATTCTTGAACTATTGTGTGTAATTGATGTTTACTGTTGCTTGTTTCTTCAAGGTTTTTATTTATTTATTTTTGGAAATTTTAGAAAATAACACCTGAAAAAATACAAAATTTTGTTTTTAGCACCTCAGATTTTCAAATTTTTATCATAACACCACTTAAAAAAAAATTAATTTTTGGTTTCACCACCTAAATGGTTAAGACGTTAGAGAAACTGTTTGTTGGGCCCACTCCAACGGCTATTTTGTTCTATATAGTTTCGGTATCCTTTAAACGCATTGAACTGATGTTTTGTTTACACAAAATTAGGGCTCAAATTTTGCAATCAACAATCAAACTTAGCAAACTGTTTGATTTAATCATCAATTTTCAGTTGGAGGAGGATTTGAATTCAGGTAATTGCGTCAATAGGATTGTAGAAAACCCTAATTTTTTTTAGGTTTGTTAAATGTTACGAAAATTAGTCCATGTTGTTGAACTAGTGCATAATTCAGTTCACATGTGTAAGTAATTATATAATTCGTACATATTTTATGAAGTATATGTGTTAATTGTCATGGTAATTGCGAAAAATTAAAGTTAGGGTTCATCGGAAAATTGAATTGGGGATTTTGATTTTTAGGACTAATTGTTTAATTTCCTTGGTTCATTTGTTGGGGTTTATCATAGTATGAACGGTTTATCTTATTGTGGATGGCATATTGATGCAGATGTCTTTCATAAGTTCAAGTGTGGTGTACCCTTTGCGAAGCTCACAAGATGGACAAAGGAGAATCCATGTCAAAAGTTTAGAACTTGCAAGTTCTATGATCCTTTAACTGAGAGTAGGGGTTGAAAAGCATTTGAATAAATTGATGAACCTGATGGGACAACCTGGCAAACTGAGCTGATCAACAATTTGTTGTTAGACAAGAAGCTGTTGAAGGGAGAAATTACTGACTACAAAAGGGAAGTTGATGATCTTGGTGGACAGATGAGGTGTTTGCTCAATGAAGTGGACATCCTAAAGATGAAATGCAAGGCTTTGAATTCAGACAGGAAGAAGATGAACATGGGAGAAATGGATCATCAGAGCACCCTTTTTTGTGTGTTGCTTTTGGGATTACTGTAGTCATGTTAGTCATGGTTATTATTGGGGGGTTTGTAATGTTTAAAATGTAATGTGTCCAATGGAATGAACAATTGTAGTAATGCTTGTGTAATGGTTTAATAGTGGCACAGAACCACTTTTTCAATGTAATGTAAACTATATTTTGGTTGGAATCAATAAAGCAAGTATTTTAGTAAATTTGCAATTGCATTAACACAAAATCTGAACCATAGTATTAGTTGATCAAAATAAGATTACTAGAAGCCTAGCACCAAAAGTATGAGTTTGAAAAACAACCTTTAACTGTTATATTTAGGATACTACCCTACATGCTAATGTTCAAATAAACAACCTAAAAGTCTAGTCTAGTTTAGAAACTGGAAACAACTGCAGGCTCAGGCTCATTGAGTCAAATTTGCTTCTTTGAAAGTCTTCAGCTTGGATCTCCTTGTCTTCACTCCAGCATTTTGCACTGTTTCTCTGTTTATGGTTTCAGGTTAACTGGAGGATGGGGTGGTATGCTGGATGGACTTTGGAGGGGCTTTCCTCTTGCTGAGTGGCTCAAAGCCTGGTTACTCTTGGAGAAAAGTCTTATTTCAATGTTGTTTGGACCAGCCCCTACTGCACTCTGTGGATAACACAATTAAAAAAAAGAAAGAAAAGTTAATTACAACACTCAATATAGGCTTTAAAAAATCAAACAAAAATGAACAAGTGCCAAACAATACCATCTTAGCTGCTTTAATCTCACTCTTCTTCCTCTGCTCTACAACCCATGGTGAGTTTAAAGGTGGTCTTCCTGTAGCTTTTTCCTCAGTTGGTTTTGGTATAGTAGGAAGCTTACAAGTCTTAGCATAGTGGCCAAGTCCACCACAATTTCTCACTGGTTTTTCCTTTTCTATCCACCCTTTTGTCCCCCTGATGCAGAAGTACCCTCACCAGGTTCCAATTTTCTTTTCTTCAATTTGGGCCTCCCAGGCTGCACCTTGATGGCTGGTGGCTGAGGCTCCCTTATGTGTTACTCTGTCCCAGTGCTTTGGCCCCGCCATGGGTTGAATTGCAAGCTCATTTGCTGCCCTATAGGTGGCCATACTGTAATAGGGGTGGACATATTGCTCAGCAACAGCTCTTTCATCCATTATGCATGCAAAGGCATGAATACATGGGAGGCCTGTCAACTGCCAATGGTTACAGGAACAACTCCTATTTCCCAAGTCAACTAGAACCTGGTCATCCTTCAGTTGCACCTCATAAGTGTCATCTCTTGCAGCTTGAACAATGCAATTCCTAGACACATAGCTCATCCTTTGAAATAGTTTATGAACATATGGAGTCAAGTTGGTTGTGATTTCCTTGGAATCCTCCCACTTCTCATTGTTTATCCTCATCATGTACCTCCTCATCCATTCCATTTGGGTGAGGATAGGTTTGTCTCTGACATCTCTAATAACTGCATTGAAAGTCTCACACATGTTGTTTAGCAACATGTCGGACCTGCAGTTCTCACTAAATGCATGTCTGCACCAGTGCACAGTGGGGATTTTGTTCAAATAATCAAAAGCCTCCTCATCAAGCTCCTTAATCTGCTGCATTGGTATTTCAAATTCAAGCTACACAAATAAAACAGGAACATAGACCTAGTCAACTACTTAAATTTGTACATCATAATCCAAGCTAGACATAAATCAAGCTACACATACATCACTCCAAAATAAATCAAGCTACACATACATTAGTAGCACAAATTAACAAAGAAAAGTAACCAACAAAAACAGAGGATAAAACCTACTATCAAACCCACTTCTTGTTCTACACATGACAAAATCACAACCACCTTTTATACTATTAGCTACACAATTTCATACATAACTTGTTCAAAACAATGTAAAGAACAGACTTACTTGTGTTGTTGCTCTTGCAGCACTCCAAAATAACTCCTTGAAAACAAATCCAGTGAACTTCAGTTTGAAGTTTGCCCAAATATGTCTAACACAGAATCTAGTTTCTACTTCTGGCACAACTTGAGAAAATGATTTTACCAGTCCCTGTTTAACACAATCCAAACACATGTTTCTCAGTCTAAACAACTAATAATAGAACAACAACATAATTAATTCAAAAAACAAGAGCATTATACCTTCTGTTTGTCTGACATGAAGGTCAAACCTGACTCATCTACACTCCCAAGGGTCTGCATCAGTGATTCTAGGAACCAAACCCATGTTTCCTTGTTTTCAGCCTCACATGTTGCCGAAGCAATAGGGTAAATTCTGTTGTTCCCATCTTTGGACACAAACACTAAAATCTGCCCTGGATAAGCACCTTTCAAGTGGCAGCCATCCACCCCAATGATTGGCCTACAACCCCTCAGGAAACCATCTTTCAAAGGCCTCAAACACATAAACATTCTCAAAAACAGGGGAGCCTCAGGCTGCTCAATCCCATCTACAACCACATTACAACCAGAACCAGGGTTGTGTTTCATTAGGGCCTTGCCATAGTCCCAGACCCTTGCATACTGCTCTCTTGCACTTCCAAAAATTATCAACTTAGCTCTACATCTAGCCATCTAAGCCCTAAAATAAGTAACTTGAACCCCTAGGTCCTGAAGTACCCTATCCCTTATATGCTTAACCTTCCAAGTTGGGTTGCTTCTGAAATATTCAAGGAACCTCTCAGCAATGTACTCTGCAGTGACCTTCTTATTCTCCCTGCTTCTCACACAATTTTGCTTTAACCTCATGCTTTTAATTTGCCAATTCTGTTGTCTAACTAACTTCCTAGCATGAATCTTGAAGTTGCACCTCACTCCACCCTTGCATATACACATAGGCATCCTACTTGTCTTTGTGTTAAACTTACAGCCACATCTGTGCCTACATTGAATAGTAATCCTACTACTGTCATTATGTAAAAATTAGTATTCATACCTATTCTCTATGGCATGTAATCTAAGAGCTCTCCTCAACACTATTAAACTTCAGTCTATTAACAAGAACAATAGGTTTAGTGAAGTCAGTTTTCTCGTTAAACCAAGGACTGTTGTCATCTTCATCTGATGAACCATCCAAACTCCTTAGCTCATCTGATTCTCCCTCAAGCTCTTCTTGCAGTTGAACTTCACTGACATCTAAGTTCTCAGTCAAAGTTGCCCTAGGATCTTTTACAACCCCCTGATCATGTACATCAAACTGCTTCCCAAGACTTCTTATTACCTTCTATAATATCTCTTCAGAATTCTATATAAACCACCTTTCATCCCCACTATCATACTCCTCCTCACCAGGCTCCAAGTTATGTCAATTTCACTCCTTTCAGTAGAAGAATAGCCTTCCTCACTCCCAAATTCATTGACCTCACTGCTTTCATCAAATACCAGTCCCTTAGCTACAAATTTGTTTCTCCCCTTCCCTTTATCCAACACCTTCCCACTGCCAGAATCTCTGTTAACCTTAGCTTTACTTTTCCCGTTATCTAACAGCTTCCCTACCAAAAACCCTTTCACTCTTTAAAGGAACCCCTTCATTATTTCCTATCCCCTTACCCTTCTCATTTGTAGATCTAGGTTTAGGATTCTCTACCAGAATCACATCAGGATTAGTTTTGTGCAGTCTTGGGCTCTTCCTAACTAGAATAGGTCATGTACTTTTCTTCCCTTTTCCCTCAGCCTTTTTTGGAGTGGATTGGGCCTCATGTATGGGCCTTAATGTCTCATCTGTAGTCACAAAGACTTCCACATACCCTTCCCAATTCACTGACTCTAACAGCCCCTTCACTTCCTCCTCATATACTACCTCCCTCCTCCCTGTATTAAAGGTCCTCCCTCTTTGTTTATACCACAGTCTGTAGTTTGGAGGTACATGAACATTAAAATACAAAAACCCATGCACAGATGCTTCCCTCAAATAATGGACATCTATCTTGTCCACTACCACATCCCTTCTCCAAAAACATAACCCCCCACACCAGCAAAGCAAATGTTTGGTGTTGGACACTCTTTTAGGAACAAAAGCACCCCCCACTCTCAATACTATATCAATTAATATGCCTTAGCTTGATTGTTGGCCATTTATCTATCTAATAAACAAATATGATGCAAGTCAACAAAACCAGCATATCAAAGTACAATTACACAGAAAAAGGCACTAGTTTAATTAACATAAACAAGCATATTTTACCCAATGTTAAACAGTAAAAGTATGTACACAGTACTCAATAGGTCAGCAAACACAATCCATTAAAGTAATCAATTAACCAATTACACTAATTGGTACTTAAATTAAACAGATACTACTTTAATTACAAATTTGCACAGTACACAAAGTCATTCTCAATCACACCCAATTTTACTTTTTTAGGGTTCCAACATTTTTCCCCAAAATACCCTGCAATCCTAATGAAAATGACATAATTAACTTCGACAATTGCTAACAAATACTTTAAATGGTCCAAAAAGTACCTCTTTTGGAATCTTGTTGTTGTTCCTGTCAGAATCCAACAAAGATCCAAGCTTTTTTTGTTGACGAAAATGACTGACTTCCAGCTCACTTGGTTCGCTCCTAATCTGACACCTCCCTTCGCAATTCAATTTCACAACCACACAAATGAAATTAGGGTTTGATTGTAGACAGTAATTTAGGTTGTTGAATAATAAAGGAGAGAATTCAATGAAGGAGGAGTAGTTAACAATCAATGGAAGGAGATAGAATCGATTTGAAATGGGTAAAATTTGGAGGGTAAACTAATTTGTGGGCCCCACACATGTTTTCCGTCAAGTATACCGTTATCTGGTGGTGAAATTAAAAATTATTTTTTTTAAGTGGTGTTATAATAAAACTTTGAAAATTTGTGGTGTTAAAAACAAAATTTTGTGTTTTTTCAGGTGTTATTTTCTAAAATTTCCTTTTTTTTAAGAGGACGAAGAACACATGGTCAAATTGCCTTTATTTTTTTTTCTCTTGAATTTGAGATCTGTAAGAGTTTATTGCTGCTAGTTTTATCAAGGTTTGTATTTTAATTTTTATTTTTATTTTTATTTTGGGGAGGACGAAGAATGCTGCTGATACTTTCTTCAACTTTTTTTTTTAATTTTTATAAAAAAATTTTAGGAAGACGAACAAGTTTATCATACAATAACAGGTTATTATTGGGAAAAATAAAAAAAGGAATTTAAAAACTCATACTTTGATTCCATGGCTTGAACCAAAAAGTCACAAAGGGAATCAATGAACAGTTCATTCCGTTTCATAGACACAACCAAACAACCAAGCTAAATCAGGGTCAACTCATTCCTTTCTCCTTCATTCTCTAGATTCATTCCATTATGATTCCCCCGTGCGAACCAAACACCCCCTTAATAGTTTGTGATATCGAGTGCGCCCAATTAAGGATGTGATATTGTTTACATCCAACCTATAGTTGGTGCTATTGAGGCCAATTTTGCCAAAAAAATTATTTTAAATTACCACCTCTTAAATTAAAAAATTATTTAAATTACCATCTTTTCACTATTTCCAATCACTTTTCGGCTGTGGGGCCCAGGTTTATTATTTCCTTCCTTTTTTCTTCATTCAATTATCTCGAATTTCCTCTCTTATGACTATTCTTCTCTATTCTACTCTACTCTTCCTCTATACTACTTTTCTTCCATTTAATTACTTTAGTTTACATCAATTAATCACTGAAAATGATTTAACCTCCCATCATTGATGAAACCAAACCTGTTAGAGAACACTCCAAAATCTACAAGCTAAGCAATGACATGTTAGAACAACATATAACTTTGCACAATTGTAAGTGCAAAATCCCGCTTCTATCAAACACATTATCAAAGCATGTCATTCATTACCAAACTTGTGATGAAATTAGCGTGTATCCATCTTATCAATATAGAATTTCTTTATGAGTAAAACAACATGAACAAATTCAAGAGAAATTTCAGGAAAAAGTACCATTTTACAACAATTGTTGTGAATAACCCTAATTTCATAAAAACCCCTAATTTAATTGTGGCAAAAACTCTAATTTCATAAAATCCCCAATTAAATTGTGTCAAGAACCCTAATTTTAGAAAACCCCAAGTTAATTTTTGTCAATAACCCTAATTTTAGAAAACCCCAAATTATTTTTTGTCAATAACCCTAATTTCATAATACCCCCAAATTTATTTACCAAGAAATAAAAATAATTGAGCTTAATTACCTGATTATGACTTCAGTGGAAGAATTCCTCAAATTAAAGCTTGCATAAATTGGGAGAATTTGAGGTAAATGATTTCGATATTGTGGAGTGTGAGAGGTTGTTTTATACAACAAAATCGAGGGGAAAAAAAGAAAATATGGGTAAAATAATCATTAAAAGCAATTATGTGGGCCCCACGACATTTGAAAAAGTGAAAAAAAAGAAAAGGCGGTGATTTAAATAATTTTTTAATTTAAGGGCTGGTAATTTAAAATAATTTTTATTAAGTGGTAATTTCAACATTAGTGTTATTATTCAGTGGTAAAATACAAATTTCTTTTTTTTTAATAATATGCAATTAATGGCATTTAGCAATTAATAAATGATTATTAAAAGTTCTAATTTGATCTGATCTGATCTGATCTGATTTGAATGTTTGCGTGTGGTGTCATGTGACTTGAATTTATTCAGGAATAAAAATTTGAAACAAGTTGAAGAGAACAAGTCTAATCTTAAAGCTTTTGCACAAGTGTCTTGTACAAATGGTACAATACGAAATTTTAATTTAATTTTATTTTTTTAAGAGAAGTATCTTTTTTGCAATAGTGTCCACACATTACCAAAGGATAGACTTACACCCTAGCATTCATATAGGCAAGGGAATGTAAGTGCTAGTAATATACCTTATTCTCATGCGCATAATGACGGAATGCAAATATAGGCCCTGTTCTTTTGAGATTCTGGGCAGACTAGAGCAGGGCAGAGCAGATTTCAGCAGGGCAAAGCAAAGAAGATTCCAACAGAGCAGGGCAGGGCAAAGCATAGCAGATTTTAGTAGAGTAGGGCAGAGCAAATTGCAACATTATTATTATTATTATTATTATTATTATTATAATATTTATTATTATTATTATTATTATTATTATTATTTGATTTTTCAGATTTTTTTACTCTTTTTATAACATCAGAGAATTTGTTAAATAATATAAAATATTAATTATTATCATTAAATATTAGTTATAATTATCAATAATTATTTAATATTACTATCATTATCATTATAAAATATTAATTATTATTATTATTATTAAATAGTAAATTTCAGCAGAGTAGGGCAGAGTAGACAACTCAAAAGAAGGGCACATGAAACATCACAAAAGATCTAGAAATGTATTAATTTGATTCCATTTGTGTTAGAAAGTAGACTTCTAGAGCTTTTAAACAATATATTTTATTTGTCTTAACCGAGTTCTGGATCAAAAGTTATGATAAAAATAAAAACTGCAAAAAAACTGAAAAATTCTACAGATCGAAACGCCTAGACTTTTTGAATCTCCTAAGGACTTTTGAAAATTCTAGGCGTTTCTCCCATAGAGTTATGAAAAAATTAGGCGTTTTCCCCTCCAACGAAAAAAAAATCGACTTTAATTCCAGAGATGTGTCCGATGACCATGCTCTCGATCAGTGGTGGTTTGTGTTAGGAGGGAAGAATGTTATATTGAGTTAGAGTTCAGGGAAGAAAAACATGGAATACACACGAGGGTTGTTTGTCCATCCATGTTTAAATGCGGGTGTTACCTAGTAATGTAAGGGCGTCGTTAGTTATACAATCCCCTTTTTTTGAATTATTTATTTATTTTTAAAATAATTAGTTATAATTTTGAAAAATTATTCCTTATTTTCAAATAAAATAATTAATTTCACAAAATATAATATTAAATTAAAAAAATTTAAAATCATTAAATTAAAATTTAAAAAGTTCTTCATTATTCCTTCTGAAAATAGTATAGTGTGAGGGAGGGGGGGTGTACCATTGTACCATATACATGGTACACTCGAAAATACATTACATATAAATAAAAGAATATTGAGACAAATTAATTGTTCTTTATTTATATGTAATGTTCTTTTTTTTTCAAAAAATTTATACGTGATGTTCATTTTACCCCTTCATTATCTCTCTCTTCGATACTCACTCTCTTTCCTTTTCCTCTAACTTCTTCTTTCATTTTATTTCTTGCTTTTTATAACTTTTGTGTGTTTAATTCATCACTCACAAACGCATTTTTACTAGATTTAACACTCCAAAATCCTAATTTCACAATTAATTTTTTGAATTTTTCATAATTTGAGAATTTTGGGTAGTTTTGATTTTGGCTAAAGAACTTGTAATTGAGTGGTCTACTAGCTTAACTACCACTATTAATTAACTTTACAAGGGTTTCCTACTCATTTGAGGTTTGACTTCTTTTTCTTTGTTCATTTTTAATCTATTCCATGAATATGAAAGCCTAGGTTGTACTTCTATGGTGAACTCTATTAACTTGTTCTTTTTACCTATATTTTGTGTTTTGTGATGATGTTTGTTGTTCATATGAAGCTTTATTATCATGAAATTTCTTGATTGTATGAATTTTTGGCACTACCATTGTTGTTCATCATCTTCTTCCATGGATTTAGGTAGTAGCATTTTTCCATTAATTATATGTAATGTTCTTTATTTTTATGTGTAATATTCTTTTTCAGAAAGATAATACTCTTTTATTTATAAGTAATGTTCTTTTAGTTATAAGTTATGTTCTTTTATTTATATGCAATGTTTTTTATTTTATATGCAGTGTTCTTTTCCAGAAAACATGATATACTTTGTGTTCGTTTGTAATGTATAATAAATTATTATAACTACAATTTTATTATTTAATGTTCTTTTATTTATAGGTAATGTTTTATTTATTTATTTATATGTAATGTTCTTGTATTATAAGTTATGTTTTTTTATTTATAGCTAGGTAATGTTATTTTATTTATAAGTTATATTATTTTATTTATAGGGTAATGTCTTTCCGGGCGTACCATGCGCATGGAGCACCTGCCTCTACAAAATAATAATTGATTCCTTGTATTTGCTCTTCATCTTCATTTTCCTTTTTAAAAGTTTCATATTAATTGTACCATTCCCTTATGTGTTACCCTCTTCGTCACACAATATAAAGCCTGTATTTCTTTTTAGATAAATCAAAATACGTACAAAGCCTATTTTTTGATATATACCTACACTTAAATAATTCTTCAAATTAACACTAAATTTGCAAAAATTCAAATCTAAGAGTTAATAGTGCATATCTTTTCATCAAATCAATGCTTCAAATTATCAAACAAGAAGGGAGAAGTCGAAAAATGAGAGACTTGAAAGAGGAGGGAGAAGCTGGTGGAGAATTACCATCGGTAAGGGTAGGATGGTCGATTGGTTGTGGCTGGCCGCAAGTGAGAGTGGACGGATTGAGAGAAGAAAGTGAGTGATTGAGATGGCTATCAAGTGGTGATGGAGGTGGTGAGACAAAGGGGAAAATTTAAGATAATCGCAAGGTGAGAAGAAAGAATGAAAAAGTGAAATGACAGGGATCGTAAAAGAGGGAAAATGAATTAGGGTTTTAATTTAGTTATGAAGGGGAAATGGGTTTGGGAATTGGATTCAGTATAATTTGGTTTGAAAATTTGGTTTTCAGTTATTGAAAGCCCAAAATCGAACCAATCCGTAATCCCTATTTATTAAAAATCTCAAACCGATCTAAAACAAAAATCGGAAAAACCGAACTGGAATTGTTAATTCGATTTGTATTGGTTTTGTATTCAGTTTTAATCCATATAACTTTTCACCTTTATATAGGACCACCTTTAAACTACCCCACTTACTTCTTATTTTATGTAACTCAATAAAATTATCTAAAACTCCTACGCCGTTTAAAGTATAAGGCCCTGTTCACTTCACCTAAAAAAAATAATATTAAGTAAAATAATTTTGGTTCAGTAAAATTCAGTTTTCTTAAAGAAGAATTATAATAGAAAATCGGAAAATTTGATAATTACCACCATCTATAGTAGGCAAAATTGAAATTACCACCTCAAGTTTTTTTTTTAAAAAAATTACCACCTAGTTTTTTCCAAAACTTTTTAAACTCCCACCTGTTTGACGAATGATGTCGTCATAGGGAAAGAGAGGGAAAAACAGGTAAAACGCAAAATTGGGCCCCATAATAACATCATTCGTCAAATGGGTGGGAGTTTAAAAAGTTTTGGAAAAATCTAGGTGTTAATTTTTTTTTTTTTTTAAAAAAAAAAAAAAAAAAAAAAAAAAAAAAAAACCTTGAAGTGGTAATTCCAATTTTGCATATTATAGATGAGGGTAATTATCAATTTTTCCTAGAAAAATAGTAAAAATAATTTCCGTTAAGCAAAATAATTTCAGTTCAGTAAAATTAATTTAAGTTCGATAAAAATAATTTTGTTTCAGTAAAATAATTTTAGTTCAAAAAAAATAAGGTCAAGTGAACGAGCTAAATCACTTAAGCACAAAAAAGACAAGTAATAATACAGAAGCCTTGCATACTAGAACGGAATAAATAAAACTAATAACGGAAGCCATAAAATAGACTTCTGCCAAAAAATCAAAGTAAAGCAAGAAACTTTTCAAAACATAAACAAGGCCAAAAAATGGAGTATACTTGGCTACTGTCATCATCAACATTGTTGATTATTAGTTTTGTAACTACAATATTTTTATTTTTTAAGCAACAAAGTCAAAAACGAACAAGAAATTTACCTCCAGGTCCTCCAAAGCTACCTTTGATAGGAAACCTCCACCAACTTGCTTCCAAAACAACCCTCCCACACCACCGTCTAGCGGAGCTGCCGAAACGCTATGGCCCTATCATGCATCTGCAGCTAGGGGAGATTCCAATAGTGGTGATACCTTCACCCGAGATGGCGAAAGAGGTCATGAGAACTCACGATTTAGTCCTTTGTAGTCGGCCAAAGATGATGATGCCGGAAGTTGTGTTCTATAATTGTAGCGACATTGCGTTAACACCCTACGGTGAGTACTGGCGGCAAGTACGTAAGATCGCAACACTTGAGCTCTTTGCGACTCACCGTGTTCAGGCGTTTCGACCTGTCAAAGAAGAGGAGGTAATGGATGCCATCAAGTCTCTAGTTACGCAGGCAAAGGCAGGGTCTGTGGTCAATCTTAGCGACATCATATTCGCTCTCAACTTTAACATCATTTTAAGGTAACTTGCATACATTATGCTCTTTAATATATTATTGTAATGTTTAAACAGAGGAAATTATGATGTTTTAAGGGAAAGTCACAGGATATGAAATCATTAGGATAGATCATAGATGAGAACTTGAGAAGTATCCTTAGTTTCTCTACTTATTCATTACGAAATTTTAGAAGGAAGTGCATATATATTTTGAAATTTAAGTTTTGGATAGTTGTGATTAAAATCAGTAGCAAATACATACTCCATACTTAGCTGCTTAGGTTGGTATGGGTCGGGTCATTTTGGGTTTACTATATTTTTGGATTGAGTTAGGATTTCAAGTAAAGTTCATATCGGGTCATTTTAGGTAGGATTGAGTTAGGACTTCAGGAAAAGTTCAAATCGGATCATTTTAGGTAGGATTGAGAATTCATATCAGGTCATTGGGTCGAATTCCCAAGAACCTCATATATCACATTATCCATTACTTACGTCCTAACTAGATCTATACTTTTTTTTTTATTGATTTATATATACCAGTGGCTATAAAAGAGTAACTAAGCTAAGATTAAGGAAGTTATGTATTTTAGGTGTGGAGGATAATAAAATCAAGCTAAGTAATTACCCTCTTAGAATTATATAATAGTCAAACGGTAACATTTACTTCCTCCGTTCTATTAATATTGCAACAATGGACTTTTTGCACTATTCATAACTCTTATTTGACCATATAATATGAGTTATACGTTAAAAACAATATAGTCAAGTAGGATATTGTTGGATTCGTCTTATAAAATACTTTCATAATATCAAGTTTTTATAATTTTTACTCTTACACAATAATAGATATTGTATGGGGAAATGTTTATATAACATTTATATTAAGGCCGATACTGTATGACAGGCCGATATTGTTTTATAGGCCGATATACTATTTGAGTCCGGTTCATCAACAATTCTTGTTAATATCGACATTTATATATAAAGCATACATATCGGCATACAAGTAGCTGACACGTGTCGTTCTCACGTTTGACACGTGGCAAAAATTACTTTGCCTATTAAATTGCAACCCGTCACTTAATCAACCTATAAATAATCTAGTTTACCTCATAAATAAGGTAGAATTTATTACACACTCTCTCTCTACTTTCTCTCTCTAAATAATCTCTTTCTTCTTTCTATAAACACTTGCTAACTTAATCTTTGGAGTGGTTATCCCCGGATTCATCCCGGGGCTAGATAATCTCTTCCTTGTGTGTAGGTTCTTATTTGGCCGATAGGAGCAGAACGGGTTATACACTCGAGCTTCGGATCTTGGATTTGGGTCATCGGATTCCTGCGGAAACAATTGACGCTAGAAGGAGGGGGAGCTACTTAATAGCTTCTATCGCCTAAAAGAGCCTCATACCTTCCGATAAAAAAATAATAATAAAAAAAAGTAGAAAAAATGCCTAATCCAGATATTCAGATTGAGGATGAAACTCATACTTTGGAGGGTAACGAATTTCATATGTCGTTAACTCTTAAAGGGAAAACTGGAGCAGATGCAGACCCTATGGCTGGATTTACATCAAAAGAGCTGGAAACGGCCGTAAGAGTGACGACCGTTATTAGTAAAAAAAGAAAAGAAGTAGGAGCAACCCAAGATGGAGAAGGGATGCCTTTTACAACTCATGGCAATCAATTTAACCAGACCGGAAGTTCGCAAAGACGCCGGCATGAAGGGTCATCGATAAGATCCCAACAGACCCCTAGAGAATTAGAGGTTCAATCCTCAGGTCATGACGAAAGTACGGGGACTTATCAGCAAGGAGTGGTGCGAAGAGTAGTTCAGTTAAGGGCATCACCATTTGTGCAGAGCATCCTTGATCAACCGATGGAAAAAATCAAAATGCCGACATGTCGGTATGATGCAAGGGGAGATCCAGGTAGATATATGATCTCATATGAGGGTCACATGATTTTATATACCAATTCTGATGTCGTTTGGTGTAAAGTATTTCCCACCACTCTGGTTGGAGCAGCGACCGATTGGTTTAATAATCTTGAAAATGGAGCAATCCATAGTTTCTAGCAGTTAGCCGAAATGTTTGTGGGGCAGTATGTTAGTAACAGTGTTCGGCAGAGAACTTCTGGAGAGTTAAAGGTTGTTACTCAAAAGGCAGATGAATCTCTAAGTAAGGAAGTTTAATAATGAAGCCAATACAATTCCAAGATTGCAGCAGGAGATAGCAGTCATGGCACTAATGAATGGCCTGAATGATTCAGAATTTAAAAGATACTTAACCCGAAAAAATCAGCCAACATTAGCTGCAGCTTTCAACAAAGCTCATGATTATATTAAAAGCGAAGAATTGATGAAAACAAGCAGCCGAGTAAGTTCTACCGATATTCAACCGATGTCTGAAGGGGGATCTTCAGGAGTTGTAAGGCCGAGGAATCCTACCGCAACAAGGGGAGGAAGCCGTCAAGAGGTTAGAGGAACCAAAGCACCAATGTGATATAATTCGTATACACCTCTGAATGCACCGAGAGCTACAATATATTCTGTAAATCAGAATCGAGAAGGATGGGTGAGGCCCATGCCGATGAAAGCGAAAGGAAGGGATACCAAGAAATATTGTATGTTCCACCGAGATGTGGGGCATGACACTGAAGACTGTGTGCAGTTAAAAGATAATATTGAAGAATTAATAAGAAGGGGGCATCTCACTCAATATCGGTTACACTCTGGTGAAAGTCAACAGCAGCAATACCGGCAGCCAGAGCGCCATCAGATAGAGTTCAGGCCAGAAAGGCAAGGGCAAATGAGCTGATAAGGTGAAGGTGGGCAACCACCGTCGTCCACTGGAAAAAGAGTTAATGTAATAACCGGTGGACAAGTTCACGGAGGGACGATAAGTGGAGCACGAAAGCACCTATTGGAACATCGGCACATTGTTAATGCACTAAATGTCGTTGATCGTCCACAACCGTCTGAGATTCCAGATGTAACCTTTACCAAAGAAGATGCAAAAGGAATAGTTTTTCCTCATGATGATCCCCTTGTATTAATAGCAAAAATCAATGGAGCTGATGTGAAGAGAATTCTAGTTCACGGAGGAAGTTCAGCGAATGTTTTGTTTATGCAGGCCTTTAATGTGTTGATGATAGGTCGACAATATCTAACGCTGGTATCTTATCCGGTGATTGGGTTTAACGGTTCGACAGTAAGGCCGGAAGGGAGTATAGTTCTCCCTGTTAGGTTTGGAGATGGCACAACGGCAAGAGATGCAATGGCTGAATTTTTGGTAGTGGATGTACCATCGGCATATAATGGAATTGTTGGAAGGCCGATAATTCACGACATACAGGCAGTAATATCAACTTACCATTTAACTATTGCTTATGTGTCAAATAGAGGGATTGTAGAAAAGGTACATGGCGAACAGGTAATGGCAAAATCATGTTATATCACGACACTGAAAAATCCAGAGCAGAAAGGAGAAGTACCAAGAAACCCGAGGCGAGCAAGAGAGCCAACGGTGCGAGATTTATCCATGGAAAATTTGACTCTAGGCCAGAAACTGCACCGAGGCCGTCACCAGGAGGTGAGACAGTACAGGTGGAGCTCCGATTGGGGAACCCAAATCAGACAGTTAAAGTTGAGGCCGATATGGATGTTGAAATGAGGTGCAATATGATCAGCTTATTAAGGGAGAATGCAGATGTGTTTGCCTTCTCGGCAAATGATATGTCTGGCATACATCCGGAGGTAATGGAGCATAAGCTTAATGTAGATCGAAGGTTTAGACCGGTAAGGCAAGAAAAAAGCAATTTCTCAACAGAAAAAATCGAAGTCATTCAAGCAGAAGTCAACAAGCTGTTAACGGCAGGATTTATAGAACCATGCTCTTATCCAGAATGGTTAGCAAATGTCGTATTGGACAGGAAGCCGACTGGGAAATGGCGGATGTGCGTGGACTTTTCAGATTTAAATAAAGCTTGCCCAAAGGACTGTTATCCGCTGCCTCGGATAGACAGATTAGTAGATTCAACTTCTGGCCATGAGATGTTAAGCTTCTTAGATGCGTTCTCCGGATATCATTAGGTTAGTCTTCATGAAGCAGATAGGCCTAAAACAGCTTTTATAACAGATGCCGGGGTATACTGTTATAAGGCAATGCCGTTTGGGCTAAAGAACGCCGGTGCAACATATCAAAAGCTGGTTGATAAAATTTTCGCAAATCAAAAAGGCCGTAATGTGGAAGTATATGTAGATGATACGATAGTAAAAAGCAAGATGAAAAAAGATCACATAAATGATTTGAAAGAAACTTTTGCAACTTTGCGGCAATATCAGATGAAGCTCAATCCAGAAAAATGTGTTTTTGGAGTTCGATCTGGAAAATTTTTAGGTTTCATGGTTAGTTAACGAGGCATTGATGCAAATCCTGATAAGGTCAATGCTCTTCTTGAAATTAAGCAACCTAGGTCAATTCGAGACATCCAGAGATTAACAGGAAGAATGGCAGCCTTAACGCGCTTCATTAGCAAATCAGCAGATAAAGCACTCCCGTTTTTTGTGGTTCTGCGACAGAAAAAATGATTTGAATGGGGAAAAGATCAAGCTGATGCCTTAGAGATGGTAAGAAACCATTTGAAGTCTCTCCCGACAGTAGCACGACCGGAGCCAGGAGAATACTTACAATTGTACATATCGGCGTCACCAAAAACAGTAGCCTCAGTCCTGCTAGTTGAAAGAGCCAAGAAACAAATGCCGATATACTTTGTCAGCCACGTTCTTAATGCTGCTGAGCGACGATATCCAGTGATAGAAAAAATGGCATTTGCTGTTGTTGTTGCCGCTAGGAAATCCTTACGAATCATCCATTAGAAAAATCACTTCAAAAAATGGATACATCGGGAAGGTTATTGAAGTGGGTTGTTGAGTTGTCAGAGTACGAGTTGTATTACAAGCCAAGAATATCAATAAAAGCACAAGACTTATCGGATTTTGTCGTGGAAACCTCTTATAATGA